ACCATTTGGCTTGGTTTGTTGGCATATGTTGGAATGGAATCTAAGCTATTCTTGGAGATGTCTTGGAGTCCAAACTCAACAAATGGTTAGCTGTCTGACATACCCACAGGGAAGAGTGATTATTCTTGGAATCTAGTGAAGACAACAATCTTTTAGATGCCAAAACATTTTAGATGCCAATGTGTATTATTTCCCTTACATCAAATAGTGCTAAGTTAGCCTAGCTCTGCCGAGAACTTCGACTGTTTCTTCAGTTGAGTGAAGTCTCCTCTCTGGATGGCATTGCTGATTATCATCCTATAGCTAGCTTCTATAGCAGCTTGTGGGCAATCTTGAATGATTTAGAGAAGTAACCAGGGTCAAAGTGGTAAATGCTTCCCAATAAAGGAGAATAGATGGGAGATCATCAATGCTGGGAAGAGAAAATGTCAGAAAGAAATCAATGGCTAACAATGGACGTGTCCATGAAATTGGCCAAGGGTAAGGCTCGATTTGAAGGAGACCATGGTTTTAATTGCAAAAAATGGCGCCACCAGTTTACAGAATGACAGGAAAGGCCCTGGATCTAACAATAAGCCCAACTTTTACCCTGTTTCTCCAACAATATGGCCTCCCCCAATAGGAAGTCCCAGCATGTTTTATAGGCATGAAATGAAATTAAGCCCCTCCCCCCAAATTAAGGCCTATATTAAAAAATGCAAAATGGGGGGGAATGGTGGGGGGGCTTGCCGTTAGGAAGTACTTTTGTTGCACACCCGGATATGGTGCTGCCTGCGTTGACCCTGATATGAAGTGCCCCACCAATGCTGAGGTCAATATCCAAGCCGTCGCCGCCTGCCCGCCCGAAGATGCAATGGGGGGGGGGAATTAAGTCACCCCCTGAAAAGACAGCCTAGCCATTTTTTCGGGGCTCAAAAAAAAGTAAGACCCGGCCTTATTATATGAGAAACACGGTAGTACCATTCAGGTTACTGAGCCCTCCTGGCTGAGCGTATTGAGTATCTAGTGTGTTGAAAGCACTAGAATAAGATAGAATAACAGGATTGGAAGGGATCTTGGAGGTCTTCCAGTCCAACCCACTGCTCAAGGAAGAAACCCTATATCATTTCAGACAAATGCTTGTCAGTCTCTTCTTGGAAACCTCCAGTGTTGCAGTACCCACAACTTCCAGAGGCAAGCCGTTCCACTGATTAATTGTTCTCACTGTCAGGAATTTTTGCCTTAGTTCTAGGTTGGTTCTGTAAAGTAGTCCAGTTAAGAAGCACAACCTAGCTCTCACTTTATTTAAGCTTATATCAATTGCAACTTGCAAGATTGAAAGTATATCCTCTTCTCTTACTCTCTGAAAAACTAAGGAGGATTCCTTCTGAAGTGCTTTCCATACCTTCCCTCCTTCGAAGTTGTTCAGTCTACAGCTCCCCTTCCTGTCTCCCAATGTCATTTTCCCATTCCAATACAGTAGTACATGTGTTAAAGTGTCACACTGTAGATTGCAAATGTCCACAAGATGTTTCCTTCTCCTTCGTTTCGTTAGTTGTTGGGATTCTTGCAAGATTTCAAGGCAGAATGGAAAACTAGCATCTTGCAGGGTTTGGCGACCTCTCAGAATTCCAGCCAACCAGCAATCAAACTGACAGGTGCCAAGTTCCTCCTCTCTTTCAGTAAAATCTACTTTTTTGACACTAAGAACAATCAACCAGTGGAACAGAAGTTGCCTTCAGATGTTGTAGGACAGGGGTGTCCAACCTTGGCAACTTTAAGACTTGTATACTTCAATTCCCAGAATTCCTCAGCCAGCTTTTCTGGCTGAGGAATTCTGGGAGTTGAAGTCCACAAGTCTTAAAGTTGCCAAGGTTGGACACCCCTGTTGTAGGATCTTCATCACTGGAAGCTTTCAAAAAGAGACTGGACTGCCATCTGTCAGAAATGGTGTAGGGTCTCCTGCTTGGCCAAGAGGGTTGGATTTGATGACCTACAAGGTCCCTTCCAACTCTGTTAATCCAATTTACTATTTCCAACCTCAGCCTGCTCCAATATATAGGTAGCTCTTGACTTATGACCACAATTGGGATGGAACTTCCATTGCCAAGCAATGCAGTTGTTGAGGCTTGTCCAATTTCACAACCTTTGCCCGTGGTGGTTGTTAAGCAGATCACATAGCCGCTAAGCAAACCCATCCCCCCCCCCGCCCCATCAATTTTGCTTGTTGGAAACCAGCTGGGAAAGTTGCAAATGGCAATTCCGTGACCCGGAGGTGCTGCAACCCGTCCTACATATATGCCAAGCGCCCAAATTGCAACCATGTGACCACAAGGATGCTGTGACAGCCGTAATGCAAGGAGTGGTCCCGTCACTATTTTTTGGAATGGGGGGTGTTGCACTTCAGTCACGGAACAAATAATAGTAAGTTGAGGACTACTTATAATTACAGTGAGAGGTTGCACAGCGGCTGCCTTTTACTCATCGTTAAGTTAGTGGTTTTGCAGATATTATTGCTCTGGCAACTGTATGGGGGAATTGAACCAATTAGGTTATCTAACCTGGCAATGAGCTACCTGCAAATAGAATAGCAAAGCTCAGAAATCACCAAGACGGTATACATTCTCCACCAGAGTGCCATTCCCCAAAATAAATTATTAAAAGAAGATACTCGGCCGATCCTTTTTATTTTAAATCAAGTTTTTAGTCCATTCCATTATATATATATTTCTAAATTGCAGTTCACTGAAAACCCGTGTTCACCATCTGGAAACGTGGATAGCAAAATTTCAGACAAAAAAATAATAATAGCCCTAAGCCTCCCGAAACAGTGGCTAGCTTCTCGCAACTAAACCAAGCGTAACTCCTGTTTAATAAGCAGAACTCCAGAATTCACGCAACATACTATAAATCATATTGCTTCATGCAATGTCCTGTGACTCTCACAATACACTAAACCACAAACTACCTATCCCAGTTTTAGGCTAATTTTGTACAAATTCAACAGATTGAGTTTCCTCCATTCCAAGCAATTTTTATGCATGTCTATTTAGCTAGTTCATCGAGGGTTACTAAATCCTGGGTAAATGTAGCTCAGATTTCAGCTAAAACAGTTAGCATTTACATCCTGCCAAACGCCTTTTCTCCGTTAGATCTTAGAACCTTGCAAGATAGATCATTGCTGTACCACTACTGTTGTTTGATGTCAAGGATCAAAGCAATGATTACATGGCATCTAATATTACAGCATTACTGCAATGTGGATTGGAACATCTGGGCTCCAGTGTGCCAGACAGATTCTGAAGTTTGGCTTTCAGAATTGAAGCTGATGGTAAGGGAGACGGATGCCAACTATATCCTGCCACAAGTTGTCTGCAAGAGCAACTGTTTCCTTCCCTCTCAATGCACACAATATGCTGACCCCCCCCCTTTTTTTTGGTAGCAAACACAGATTGGGCTTATAGAATCATAGGGCTGAAAAGGACCTTGGAGGTCTTCTAGTCCAACCCCCTGCCCACATCAGGAACCTTATACCACCCAGGGCAAATGGTTGTCCAATCTTTTCTTGAAAACCTCCAATAATGGAGCATCCACAACACCAGGAGATAAGCTGTTCCATTGCTCTTCATTTCATCCTTACCCCTAATCTTTTAGCCCCAGGCCCTTTGATAAATTAATATATTGCCTGTTTTTTTCATTTTTCTTATGGCCATGGAATTACATTTGCTTTTCCCATTAATATTTCATTTACCCTCAAAAAAATCCAATAGATAGATAGATAGATAGATAGATAGATAGATAGATAGATAGATAGATAGATAGATAGATAGATAGACAGACAGATAGATTTTCCTGTAGCATCACAACTACCTTGGAAGGTATGTTAAGGTGAAAATGAAAGAATGTTATCATATGCTAGGTATTGAAAATAAATCTCATGTGCCCAAAAGTAGTACTTCATCTAGCCTACCATCTAATTTTATTTAATCTTGTCCAAGAATTAGGAATACTCCACCATCAGAATGGTCCAGCATAAGCATATATGGAATTGTGGTATTATCTTTCTTTAAATCCCACACCTATCTATTCCTGGAGCTGTACTATTAAATTGGACAGATTATTTAATGGCTCTTAAGGAAGGATAACTTTCTCCACCTCTTCCAAAACCTCTGAAATATATTGATGCACATGGAACAATACATGATGACTCCGGGAAATTTTAAAGTAGTTAAAGTAGTTAAATTCAGAAGGGCTGTTGATTCACAGCTGAACATGGATTAATGATGGAAGTGAGAAGGAGAAGGGAAGATCAAAGACGATCCTTTCTAACCTCCTTCGTCTAAATCCTTAAAAACTTCCAAGTGACCAAGAACCCCACAAACCACTTGAAATTAAACCAGACAAGAATCTTCTCTTTCAGTATTATCCATCCCACCCTTCCCCAACACGGGAACTTTTTGTCTGTCATCCTCCAAGCCTATCGTCCCTGTGAAATAACTGTCCAAAGTTTCAAGCAAAACTTTTTTTCTTTTTCTTTCCAGCCCCACATGAGATTGCCTCGGGAGTTCAACCCAGGACTTGAGATCTCCAGAAGTTTGGGCAAACCCACTGCTGAGCTATGAGTCCCGTGTAGAGCAGGGCTCTCCAACCTTGGCAACTTTAAGCCTGGAGGACTTCAACTCCTAGAATTCCTTAGAGTTGACAAGGTTGGAGAGCCCTGCTGTAGAGCAACCCTGCTCGTCCCATCTCTCTCAGTTTGGGGGCAACTCAGACGGGTGCAGAAAGAAAGAAAGAAAGAAAGAAAGAAAGAAAGAAAGAAAGAAAGA